AATTAACAATCAAATATTATCTACAGTAGAGAGGAAGTCATATGAAAATGCTAATGTGCATTTTCATATTAATTCTAGCTCAAATTGCCAACATATGTGTATATGTGTGAGTATGTAAGTGTGTATATGTATATGTGTATGAGTGTGTGTATGTACATGTGTGTATATGTATATGTCAATCAACAGGTAAAGCAGATTAATAATAATAATAATTAATAATTATTGCAGATTATAGATTATAAATAAATCATTTAGGGACAAGGGGGTGAGATTAAATAAATTATACTTCTTCTCACTCCTTTTCGAACACTAGATGTGGGACTGTTTATGTTGCTAATGCTGTTGTTGTAAATGTCATTTTTTGGTTTGGTTTCTCTTACATGACTATGCACTGCAACATTTGTTTTGTTTTGTAATTATTTATTTGACTTGTTCTGAATAAAATGTATCAATCAATCAATCAATAATCATAAAGCAATTGTGGAATTACACTCTCTAGTTAACATTATCATATTCATACGGTCCTCATCGGGCTTCTGTAGATTATTAAATATGTGTTTCTGTTTGTAATTCATTGACATGTTGTGCTTAAAGACAATAATAGTACACTGAAGGCAGAGTTTATAAGGAACAGGTTCATACTTTAATAAAAGGGTATTTTCCCTTGGCACAGATCTGCTATCAAATAAATAAAGCAATGAATCAAATATAATCTATATAAACTAAAGTCATGACATTAGGCAGAGGGGAAACAGCTAATGCTAAACAACTTTCTTTACAAACACCAAGTGAAGGTGTGTCTGCGCGCCGAGAGAGAAACATGTTGAAGTGAGAAAACTACCCGCTGCTCACGGTGGATATTAGAGAACAGCTGACAGTTCATAGATGATAAATAAGCCTTATAGTCTTTCTACATGATGCTGGTTATCCTTTCTGCAGTCCACTATATACATCAGGTTTAAAAAGAGTAATGTTGATCTTACAAAGCTGTGCAATACATACAGTGTTAACCAGGAGGAGTGGCTGTGAATATGGTATACATTACACAATAGGAGAAAAGCTTGTGTGACATGATTTGTTACCAAAATCATTTCAAAAACCTTTTGGTAGATTTACAGAGATGACTGAAAACCTTAGTATTGTTTTTCTGATTTAAAAATGATAGATACATTGCCGTGGGATAGTAAAAGACAGAAAGCAGTAGGATGAATGTGACAAAGGTTTCAAAAGCAAAGTGGACAAAACTGAGAAAAATCTGCTTTCCCCAACTCTCAACAAATACTGTAAAGTGCTTTTGAGCAAGGCATATCACTGTGTACTGTATGGCAATGTCTTTTAGTGGGTGGTTTTCTGATGTGGGTTCAAGTATTTGTATGAATGTGAGGGAAGGCATTAAAACAAAGGAGTTCTGTCTCTCTTGGGGTAAAATAAGTGTTATTTTTCGCCTTTGCCATTAAAGCATTACAACGTGATATGGAAACACAAGTTAGCTGGGTTATTGAAAAGTGGGATTATATCAAATATGTTCTGCATGTCATGTGTGTGATTTTGGTTTACGGTGTTACAGACTGTGGACATGATTATTTGTAATGTTAAAGGGATCCTACCAACTCTGTTTGGCCAATATTTTGTATTAAAGATATTTTGTGTGTGAGCCTGTATTGTCATTTCATTCTTTTTTTGTGTCCTTTATTTGTATCTCTTAATAAAATGGGAAAAAAATTGATGTTTAGACCGTGCAACCTGACTGAGGCTTCCACCCAAATTCTTTGAGAAGCCCCCGCCCACCGCGTCCAATGGGACCACCGTGCAGGACCACACACACATGCTGTCTGTTTCACACGACCAGGTCCACATTTGGCATGTTTCCTGGTGAGATTAAAGGTCACCTATTGTGCAAAATCCACTTTTTCATGTCTCTTCTACATCAACATGTGTCCCCTCTGCGTAAATAGATTCTGAAAGTTTCAGGAACAAAGATTCTCTCTCTTTTTGTCCTGATCCATTTCTATAAAAACTTGCCTGAAAATGAGCCGATCAGATTTTAGCCACTTTATGTCATAACGATTTCTTGGCTTGTGTAACCATTAGCCAATCAGCAACCAAGGTAACCCCCCCTCACCTTATCACCTGAATCTCCTCCTAGAGCACCATGGTGTTCTTTTTAACCAAATATCTCTGAGGGGCATGGGGAGGGGCTCCTTATTTTCATCTAAACTAACAGACAGAGAATTAACAAATAACGCTTATGGCGGGCTAACAATCAGAGTTTGTGTTTGTGAAACCTGCGTGTAGTTCATCTTTTTATAATAAATGATATATCGATAATATCTGATGAGGCAAAGATCATAACAACATTTCAGCTGGGTTTATCGCAAATGTTTGTGGTTTGGCTTTTCAAACAGCGAGGGTATAGGTCATCTAGTTACAGACCGCAACGGTCAATTACATTTGTAAAGTTGATTCCCCTAAAACAAAGATTTGAAAATGTGATGTCTGTTAATTAGAATTTCCTAAATTGTAAGAAAAAAAGTTGGTTTAATTTTCAAATCTTACAACAAAGAAAATATGGACACTATTTATTTGCACGTTTTGGGGATTTTGAATTGACATTTGAATATTGTTCAATATACAAATGGATACAGTTTAAGAGAAAAATTATACAAGCCAATATTATGCATTGTTTCTGTAAAGATGTAATTTGATGTAATCCTTAAATTAATAAAGGATAACCTTTTTACAGCGCTCTCTGTCTCTTTATGCTAGCAGTGGGTCCTGCAGAAGAACCATAAATCCAATAGTAAACATGGAGCGTTGCAGTTATGATGTATTTTTGTAGGCAGACCCAGGAGTTAGCATCGCAAGGGATTCCTCGTCAAAAAGCAATTATATTTTACTATTGGATTTAGGAATAGTGTTGGAAATATAATATTATGTATATTGCTCTGTGGCAAAAAAAAAAGTATGATGCTTATACGTTTCATTCTGCGGGATAACCACCAGGTATTAACGCAACTTATAAAATATCTGATCACAAAGAAGATGTTTGCTGCCTAGCTTGTTGTTGTTGTTATGTTTAAAGCAGCGCTGTCACAGGACCAGCAGACCCTGGAGCTGGCAGCAGAGCAGCAGCAGTGAGTTATGGGTGAAGTGGAGCCTACGGGCCGGGCCCAGTGTTATCCAGCACCAACCAGAGGAATGAGACAGCTGAAAGGAGCCACAAACAGAGCCCTGCTGGCTGAGCTCTGAGGACACATGGCGGCACGCTGAAAGACCTGCAGAACGACCTGCTGACAGCTGGGGGAAGATGACGCGGCGTGACCCCGGGCCAGGACGAGGGCCGGAGGACATGTGGATACGACTTAGTGGCAGAGCAAGTCTAGAGAACGTAAATCCAAGATCAGCTGAGCAACTCCCAGGTTTGAGTATGAGGAAGCTAAATATTGACAACGTATATCTGCTGTTGTATGACAAACTAGCATCAACCCCGTTTGTGGTAATATATATCTGTTATTGTTTTTTAATCAATACAACCAACCGTAAGCAGCTTGCTTTCACTATGTCTGAATCAGCTTCACCGCTCAATATTACAGCCGTATAGCAAGGAGGACAATCCAAATTTGTGAATACATGTCATCAACTTATCAGCAGCAACATTCAGGTTGTTCTGCTTCAACAAATTCGCCTTTTCTTTATTTTTGATGATAGTTTTCGTCCAAGAGACAGTGAAAAACAGGCTTATTCTCCAACGGGAATGTCACCGGCGCTTTTCTGAAAAGTTGAAATATTTTCAATTTGAAATGCTCAGAGCGGTACAAACTTCATACTGATGAAGGAACCTCTAACTGACTGGATTATAATCATGCAACAGAAGGCCTGATCCATGAATGGAGACTCTACTGGAGACCTGATGTGAAGATAGCACTTGTTCTGTTTTTAAGGATCATGGGGCTTGGACATTTTGTTTTCAGTTTGTATTCTATATTTTTGCAGAACCCACACACTAGTACGTAATAGTCTTTATAAACAGCATGATGGCCATTAAATATTGAATGAGAAGAGATTGTATTCTGTGTCGTGGACATGATTCTTTAAAAAAATGACGTTCTTAATCAATGTGTAGCACAGTCAAGCCTAAAGTCTATAAAACACTTGTATGTGATGACGAGCATTGTTGAGAGTTGGGATTTCAGTCGTTCAGGCAAAATAACCAGATCACTCTTAAATATCTAATCACATGGTGGTGAAGTGGAAACAGAGGGAGGATGACAGAGAGTTTGAGATACAGTTGTACATTTGTAGTCATAATGAGGCTCCTAGTGGTCTTATAAAATGTGGCTGTGAAGCAAGACAAAACATAAAAGCTTCAGATAGTGAATACAAAGATATCCCATTATCAATAAAGCTTATACAATTGATAACAATATATACCTTATGTACAGTCAATGTTAGTGAATACAAGTAAGGAGCTTTTGAAACTTCAGTACTGCAGATTATGATTTCAAAAAAGTGTTTTGAAGTAATTTTAAAATAACCTCTGAATGCTTATTCAAAGTATCAGAACAACAATTAGGATAAAATTAGAGGTAGCAGCGGATTTTGGGATCTCTGTTCTTTTTAACATTCTCATTTTTGCTCACGGGGTATTGCGTGATTGAATCTGAGTCTTCATTTTCATCTTCAAAAAAACAAAACCAGCCTGACAGCCTGCTTTAAATACTCACACGCACCCCTGAGCGCATTTCAAACACACACACACACACACACACACACACACACACACACACACACACACACACACACACACACACACACACACACACACACACACACACACACACACAACACACACACACACACACACACACACACACACCACACACACACACACACACACACACACACACACACACACACACACACACACACACACACACACACACACACACACACACACACACACACACACACACACACACACACACACACACACACACACACACACACACACACACACACACACACACACTCTCTCTCTTCCTCTCGTTCCTCCTTGTCCTTAAAAACCTTTTGGCTTAGTGGTCTGGAAGGTTGTGGTGCTTGTTTGGAGCCGTACAGTCTTCAGGTAGGAGGAATACAGCGTCAACGGAAGAGGATTTTTGATCATATTATCCCTCCGTGTATCACTTCGCTCCGAAGCCGTGATCTTCAGTCCTGGCTCTGCAGTGGCCCCGAATCGCTGCCCTGCTGCACACCCAAGCTTTTTTTGCATGTCTGACCAACCTCTTTATAACACTGATTAATAACCTCTCAGCACTGGGACACCCTTCCCATGGTGCTCCTCTCCTCCCCTTGTCCTGTGTCCACTACGAAGGCACTGCACAATGCACTGAGGAGGAAGCAGCAGTCTGTTCGCCTGCTTGTGTGTTTTTTTTTTTTCTGGGGTTGCAGGAGTGCTGAGGTCTCCTGTAAAAGGATGTAAATTCAGGACTGGTAAAAGTGGTGGTAGTGGTGATGGTGTTCATGGTGGTGGTGGTGCTCATGCCGCTGCACCACCTGTGCCGACCCCCCCTCGTACAGCAGCACACTGGGAAGGTCCCGCACCTGCTCCTTCTCCACCATTTGTCTCGGAGCCACAGAGCTCAAAGCCCTGTAGGTTTCCTTGGAGCGCTGCTTGTGTTTGCGGTACGGTGCTGAGGATTGGTGAGGGGGGGTTTGGCTGGGGAGGACCGTGGGAGGGGGGGCGCCTCGGCTTCTCATCACCCTGCTGCTGATCTGCGCGGGGGGCGTACGGCTGCTGTGGGTTTTAGGAGAGCGGATGGCGTGTTTCCCCGAGTCCTGAACTCGCGTACGAGCGGAGGGGTGGAGGCTCTCCGGAGACAAGGTGTCCACGGCGGGGTGCAGGCGGCGGTGGGGGGGGGGATGGGAGTGGCCGTTTTCTGGCTCGTGGGAGCGGGAGCGAGTCTGGTTGGATGGACGCGTCTGAGGCTCGGCCTTCGCTGGCTCTGTGGTGGTGGTGGTGGTGGTGGTGGTGGTGGTGGGGGCTGGAGGGAAAAAGTATTTTATTTAAACTGAGAAAAGCAGAATCATGATTCAAATATTGAAATACTCATAACACATGTTCCAGGCTCCTCCAACAATTCAAACAAAAAAAAAATAGGGGTGTCAACGCTAACACTCGCAATTAATCTGGGAACTTTAACGTGTTAAAAGAAAAAATGTATAGCACACAGAGGGGGATGCCAGATGCTCTCCGTGACAGCAGCATTGTTGGTGCTTTAGCTAAGGGCGCAATAATTCGGATATCATGTTATAATAAAGTAAACCACAGTTTTTCAGGCATTTCTTTATTATACCACCATACTATGTGTATTCTTTACGCGTTAAACTGTGATCAATCATGATTATTATTGTGATTAAGCCGATTGCATTGATTTAATCTACTGTATTGACAGCACTAATAAATCAAATAAAGCAGTGCCATAGACATACAGTACAGTAATGGTGCATCAGTGGTTGGTTTCTGGTAAAAATGTATTAGAATTTTCTGTATGCGAGGCAAATGTGGCTTTTAAAAAAAAAATATGTTGCTTTTAAATGTCTTCGTAAAGTTTCATTGCTGTGAGAATCCAGTCATTTTGTTGGGGTCGGAAAATCTTGGCGAAGTTATTGCAATTAAAACCAAACTATCACAGAAGTAGGCATTTAAAAAGTTTCTCTTTTTACTGTAACCCTTAAAAATGTTGGATACAGTGAAACGAAATAGTTGTGGGGCGTAGTTTTGGCGATGGAAATCATAAGTCTAAGGCTCCTCCAACAATGTAACCTACAATTTATTTAATATAGCAAAAGAAAAAAGACAGTGTGCAATAAGAAAAACATATGAAATCGAATAAAATAAAACAATGTAGACTTCAAGGTTGCAGAGGAACAACAATTCTTCCACAGGCTTCTCAAAATGTATAACATGTGCCCTAAAAACCCTGGAAAACAAGTGAATACAAATTACCCATGATGTGCAAATGACTGTGCCCAAAGCATGCCAATAAAGATTTAGTAAAAAGCTCCATGATAGGACTCTGGCAGCTTCTCCTCCTGGGTATAACCCTGACTCAAAGTGACAGGGAGCAGGTTTCTGTTAGCACTTTCCTACCAGGAGCAACATTAAAATAATCACATGTCATCACTGACCCTCAGATCAAGGCTGCTGCTTATTACGCCTAATATTTCCCTTCCCGACAGCCCGTTCTTTAGCCTTGAACACTTGATGTATTGTGCCTGCTTGCTCCCAGATGTTTGTACTGGAGAGGAGCGCAGTAGTTCAGTCTAATGGCTTCAAGCAGGTGCCGCAGTAATGAGGGACCTCTGGATGAATCTTCAAAGGCCTAGGGTACTCTGTCCCCCCCCCTCCTCCTCGGTTTAAACCCCTGGCCCCGGTCCACTCACCGGCTCCAAAGCGGGATGTGTAGTTTTCGATGCCTGCCAGGTCCAAGTAGTGGTTCCTGCGCTCCAGGTTCTCGTCCACACAGTGGCGCTGGCAGCCCGGCTGGGTGTGATGGTCGCTGTGGTGGCGCCTGCGGAGAAAAGCCGCACCTCTCATTAGGAAGCAGTTCTGGCCAGAGAGGCTCAGTATGGTAGTGTTTGGAGAAAGTCAAATACAAGCGCTCCTTATGATCAGGGGCAGAGGCACAGTGATTGTTAGGAGAAGTGAGATTATGACTGGAAAATCACAGCTTTAAAACTCAAGAGGGAGGATTTGAAGTCTCTACTGGTAACTCCTCCTCAGCACTGTGGAGGTACATTTGGTGAGAAGTAATTAAAGAGTAGAGGACTGATACATGTCCTAAAGTGTGAAGCCCTACTTTAGAAAAAACACTGCTATTTGACGATTTAAACGAGAGCATCTTCTGCTGTAAAAAGTTAAAAAACGCTCTTAATGGTCTTGGTCCTAGCTATTTATCACCGTAACTTAAGAACCGTCTAGATCCTCAGGTCTTCTGGTACTTGCCTTTTTAATTATTCCTAAGGTGAAAACAAGGACCCACAGTGAGGAGTCTTTTTATTTTTACGTCCCACGATTGTGAAACAGCTTCCTACTGTAGAAGACCTGAGGGCGGCAAAAAGCGTTTATTCTTGGTTGTAATACTATTGGTGTTGTTATTAGGTGTTTCTATTCATATCAAATGAATTTCTTTAACTGTATTTATCTTTATTTCGTGTATGAAAAGTGCTATAGATTTAGATTTGATTAGAATGTTATAATCAAAAAGACTTCTGTTGTCGTATGCATAATAGCTACAGCACAGTTTTGGCCAAGTACCATGCTCCTCCAACAATGAAACATACAATGTACCCAACACATACCAATAAATACAATAGTTAAATTAAATAGTGCAAAATAAATAATGGTGCAAGAAAAATGTAAAGTCAAATTAAATTAAAATGACATGTACGATTACAGTTAAAAGTCACAGTGGAATACATATACCTATTACTTTTGTTATTTAAGGCCAGTGTCTCATACATTAAAATAAGTGACATCATTCAAATATATTTGAACAAAAACAAATAATAAACATCATATCGTTACTTTTAGAAGACCAAACAATTGAATCTTTGAGGAGGGGGGGGGATGTTTACCTTATGAGAGCTCGAGTCTTCTTGTCTGCACTCTTGGGGTCTTCTATGCACTTGTCATTTTTCTCTCTGGGGTGGGACATGTCTGTGTATGTGTGAAAGACAGGAGGCTATTATCAAAGAGAGCTACACAGAGCAGACACACACACACAACCACACGCACACACACACACACACACACACACACACACACACACACAACCACACACACACAACCACACACACACACACAAAGACGACAACAGTCACACTCAGAAGAAAGCAACCTTTGTTTTGGGGTTTTACTTTGAAGATCTATAGAAAAGGAAACACAACAATGCTTCATTTATTCTATTTTCAACTCCCCGCCTCTTATAAGGCATGGAATGAGAGAAGAAAATAAAAAACATGCCGACTTCAGAAAATGTTTATTAAGGGCGCGAGATCTGATGCGGTTTCAAATTAGCATGAAGGCAAGCGGCGATGGTTTCAAAGCTTGCTCTGTTTGAATCTCTTGATGGATATTTATAGCCGTAACAAAAGGACGCAAACACACAGGAATATATACTTTTTGGAGATATTTTTCTACTTGTTTACCAAAGTGAGAAAAGTTAAGTTGCTATATTTTCCCGGCAGCTCTGCGAAGGGGGAAAAGGTAAAAAGGGAGCTTTGGAGCAAAGAAAAATGGCTGTGGTTATCAAAAGGACTCGGCACATCTCTTACGGTTTCTTTCAGTGTATTTGAAGGCGCTGAGGGAGGGGGCTTCTCTTAGCTCTGTCACTCCCCCCCCATCATTAAAAATGAACCCCATTGAGTGGGAGAGATGGAGCGACGCCGACACTGAGAGGAACAAAGCTCTGACAGGCCTGAAGACAACAGACACATCTCTGGGTGAGCTGACAGCATGCAACACAAGGGGGACCCCAAAACGCCCCTTTCTTCTCCCTCACCACCAGAGAGGGCAAAAGTACACACGTTTACTCAGGTAGAAGTACAGATACTCGTGTTTCTGGTGAAAGTAGAAGTACTGACTAAACTTCTTTACTCAAGTAAAAGTAAAGAAGTATGGGCTTTGAAATGTACTTAAGTAAAAAGTACCCATAACTAGCAGCTGTTTTAAAGAGTACCTGACCTCCCTTTATATTAATAGAACAATAATGTCATTGTTAGCTAATGAATGTTTCCATGCTGAACAACGGCAACATGACAACGTTTTCATTGGTCCCTCTTCTTTAGAGAAGACCAGGAAATGATGGATACACGGATCGTGTTCAAATCAATAGGCACGCAATGACTCTAAATAATAATGACCACGCCACCAAACACACATTCAAACTAAAGGAACCAGCCTTTATTGGAAAATGTAAGAAGTAGAAAGTACAGGTATTTGTGTTCAACATGTAAGAAGTAGAAAGTACAGGTATTTGTGTTCAAAATGTAAGAAGTAGAAAGTACAGGTATTTGTGTTCAAAATGTAAGAAGTAGAAAGTTCAGGTATTTGTGTTCAAAATGTAAGAAGTAGAAAGTACAGGTATTTGTGTTCAAAATGTAAGAAGTAGAAAGTACAGGTATTTGTGTTCAACATGTCAGAAGTCAAAGTAAAAAGTCGTACTTAAGTACAGTAACGAAGTATTTGTACTCCACTACTTCCCACTGTGTTAAAGTGAGCGTTACCTGCCGCTCCCTGAGTACAGCTCCTCCACCGCTGGCTGGAGTCTGGAGCCACGGACAGCTTCACCCGGAGCGTCTTGCTGCTGCTCGGGGAGTGGTTGACGGAGGCGTCCACCACCTCATAGATGGTGTGGAGCAGGCTGGTGATGTCCTGCAGGAGAGGAGAGGTGGAGGTGAGTTCAATCTGGGCTTTGTTATGCATAGCTTCCATTGAGTGATGGCGTGTTTGATAGGCTAACCCAGAAGTAAGCGTTGCAAGGGCTCCCTCTACAAAAATGTTGGAATATTACAGAAAAAAAAGTATCTGCAGCGAACACATGATTATGATACAAACACTTTTTGTAAAGCAGTATCATCTTCACATATTAACACCACTTTTATGATTTTTTTAAGCGTAAATTACATTTTCAGAGATAAAAATCTAACATTTGGCTAAAACCAAATAAGCTAAAGGTGGCTAATGTTCAGCGTAAAGCCTCATCATAAAATGCTTATTATTAGCACATAACATATTTTAATCTAAATATGATATTAAGATGCTATTCAGGCCATTCGGCATACTGTTTGGGAACTATGAAAACAAGACGTTTTAATCATAACTTGATTAGAATCATATGTAGTGTAAATATGTGACGTTGGTGCATATTTAAAAAATAAATGAACTAATTGGAGACTATTCTTATCACTTGACTGTTTGAATTCTGGATTTTTGTGCATTAAAACTCTATGATACGCGTCACGCTAGCGAAGAATTTAAAGAAGTGCCTCCGTCAACAGCGAACAGAGAAACTCACTGATGTCAGAAGTTTTAGGTCGGCTTTCCAAGTTGAGGCGTTCACACGGGGTTTAAAGAAGAGTTAGAAATTCATAAAAAGGAATGTTGTCTTGGTGGTAGCGGCAGAGATTGAGTGAGATGTCAAGCCTGATGCTAATCCTGCTACACACTGCACTCCCTCTATTCCTCGATGTCTCCCAAATGAGTGAAATTACACCTGCACATGTCTACACCTTCAAATAAATGTATATATAAACTCAACCACACATAAAAGCACATTCACATGCAAAAAAGCGATACCTTGCTCACTTTTTAAACAAGCTAACTTGCCATATTTGGATTTATTTGCACATTTAATACTCTTTTTTTTGCACGTATGGATGTTGTTCTACCCCATACTGAGATAATGACTCCCTTTTGGGTAATAGCAACTGTGCTGGATGTTTTTCTAGCAAACCAAAACCTAATTGTCCCTTAAAAATGTCACCAGGCGTGGATGCAAAATGACTCTCACAGTATCCCAAATCTCATTAGTGCTTTACTTTAGAAGGTAACACAGCTTCACCATAAAAGCTGCTTTGACAGAACTGCTGAATTAAGCTTAGCACACAGAAACCCTAACAGCATGATTTGCACTGAGAAAACTACCATGAATTCTTTAGGGACCGGTTCCACTTACTGGTTTGAAAAAATATATAAAATAAAAGCTTCCTGTGTCATTTCTGGTTCGCTGCTCTTTTTTTTATTTGGAGAAGAAAGCTTTTCTTTCCCCCTCCAAGCCGCTGTCTCACGAGCCATGAAGCCACAGGCAGTGCCAAAAACACGGCAGCTCCAAAAACACAGAGGACAGCTCCAGTCTCTTTGCGCTGTTTCAAGTGGAGCTCAAAAAACACGGGCCTTTCTGGATGTTCTCTCAGATCTGTATCAGGCAGAGGCAAGTCACACGGTAACTCTCAGGAGCGGAGACATGTCGCTGGATTCAGTTCTGAGGAGGGAGGTTAAGTTAGAGGCACGTCTGTACTCGCTTTCTTTTGGGGGTGTGGTGATGGGAGCATTTGCGATCCAGGGGGACGTTATTGATTCATTTCTGTACCCAAGCGAGAGGGGTGTTTCGTAGCTGTGAGCTAATAATCCAAAATGTTGTATATTGTTTAATTGTTGGTAATACATTTAGGTATTGATTCGTTCTGATACCAAAAAAAGAGGGTGTTTTGTAGCTGTGAGCTGCTATTTGAGAAAGTTTGTTGATGGAATAAAATCTACAGCTTTTATGATATTACACGATATGGATATGATAAACTGATGTTTTGAGATGTTTGAATGTTTTGTTTATTTATTGGAGGCAACCTGCTCTTAAATTACTCTACTTACATTTTTGGGTGAAATCAACTCCAGATGAACCAAACGCTCTCAACAAACTATATTAGATTTTAACCATGTGTGCTGAATAATGGTTGCTCGTTCTAATTTTGACTTAAGAGAAGAACAATTAAAAAAAAAATAATGGGTAAACCCAGAAACCGATGGGTACAAAATAAGAACAAAACCTGGATACAAAAAAAAGGGGACATTTGTTTGTCCAAAGTTTCTTGCATGAATCCCATTGTCTGCTATATTTATCTATGTGTTCATTTATTCATCAAAAGTTTATTTATTCAGGTAAATCCAGGTCCTTACCTCTCTGGTGACTTTGCCGTTGTTGTCAAAGTCGTACAGGGTGAAGGTCCACTCCTGTCGGTTATCCTCCTCCACAGACACGGCACACTCCAACTCCTGAAACAGCACAGAAATCAACTATCAGTATCATCCAGTGTGTGTGTGTGTGTGTGTGTGTGTGTGTGTCCCATCGCCCCAGTTTCATCCAGAGGGGAGGTAATAAACGTCCTGTTGGCTGTCGACACTCACTTCAAACTGGATCTGTTTCTGCAGCCCTGTGGGGGATTGGCTGCCCCTCTGCTGCATCTTCTCCTCCACACAGCAGCTGCCCGTCTTCTCCGGGGGTAAAGCCACTGCAGCGACACACACACAGACACACAGACACACACACACAAAGATAAAAGTCAGAGCCTGAGGATGGGAACGTTGGGAACGTTGGGCGCAGTCGTAACCTGAGGATACAGTATGTCGTCGCCTTCAAGTGTTTCTTGTAAGCTTCTACTTCCCAGTTCGGCAGCCGCAATTAAGATGTGTCACACATTCAAGTGCTGCAGGTTGGAAATGAACCCACAGTCAAACTTCTCAGCTTTTGTCTGACTGCATGTACTTTGAAAACGTATTTTTATATTAATATCACTACTATGAATGCAACGTATATATTCTCAAAAGGCAGCACAAGGCTCTGTTCTGTTAACATAAGTATTGCATCAGGATTATCACAAACTTCAAATATTGAAACTTGCAAATGTCTATATTTGTAGGCTACTCAAATGTGCTAAGCTTGTAGGAAGTACATAAATCATTTGTGATAATACCCAAAAGGTGAACAAAAAATAGTCAAATTTGACACTGATCTAGAAATGTGCCACTTTGTCTCTTTTTAGACATTTCGAGTTGGCAGACACTGCACTTAAATTAAGGCTGGGCGATATATAGTAGGGTTGACTATTGGTGCCTTCACGATGATATCTTTGATCGATAATTATCAGTAATATCCATATAACGACTAAATGCGTGACTTTTAAAACCAGGTAATGATGACAAATGATATCCTTACTGTACATGTCATTCTTGAGTACATTTAGCTAATTATACTTAATAACTTGAACGTTTACAAAGCAGGACTTGTAACACAGTGTTTTTACGGTGTACTTTTTTAAGTATAGGATCTCTATACTTCTTTCACCATTATATAGAATATATACAACCAAATGTGTTCACACTGAGAGGGGATGTGAAACATGAAACTGAACATGAATATTAGGTGGCATTGGGATATAAATGGTGGATTGGAAACAGCGTGTGAACATCAAAAGGCTTATGGAAACCTCTGGGAGCTCATCACGTTATGGAATGACATTCAGCGTAAATTACCATCCAGACGTACGGTAAAGTCAGACGGGCCGGAGGGAGGACTAATCCGTCACATTGACTTACTCTCAGAGCCAGAGCCGACTGACTTCCTATACCATACAAGTCAAAGACAGTTGAGACGCTGTTTTACTCTTTAAAACACAGATTCATCCAGACAGGATTCAAACTGAGAACATCCTGGTGACAGGCAGTGATGTAAAGTAATACATTCAATTACTCACTTCGAGGTACTAGTACCTTAGTTTTTTCATTTGACTCTACTTTATACATCTATTCCACTACATCTTGGAGGCCAATATTGAACTTTTCATTCCCTTACTTTTGTATGACAGCTTGAATTACTTTACTACACCGTTTCTTTAGCAAAGGATGGGAGTTTTGCTGCCTAAGATTCCTCTCCATAAAAAAAAGCACGTGCATGTGTGTATTCATACAGTACCTTATGTGTATAGGGCCTTTGCATGTGTGTAGTATTTCTGTCTTTACAATTAAGTGTTTCTACTTTTACTCAAGCAAAACGTCTGAGTGATCGTTCCACCACTGGTGAAGAACTGAATACTTAACACTACATTTTATAAGCCAAGGAAATATGTGAAAGGATGCTGGCTATTGCACTGACTTCCCGATAAGATACATGATTTGATATCAATTCATTGAAGGATATTCAAATTACAATACCAATATTGCTTGGACATGAACAAGATTATTAGAGGACTAATGCTGTAAGTAAACCTGGTTTATAATCAAATGTTAACATTAAGAATTGAGCCCCAAAGCAGTTACAATAATGTACTTATATTCAGTATATAATCTTCTCCGTAATGTACTTTCTTCTCTGCAGCCAGGCATTTGCCTTTAGGGTTGGAAGTAAGGGTGGAAAATCTATTTTATAAGCCCAGCCCTACCTATGTGTGCCACTGATGAGAAAGCATCACCGCTGGATTTCACAACCCTGTATTTTTTTTACATACTATATAAACTGTGTTGTGGGGGGGTTAATTCAACAGTATGTTAATGCCTCTGGCCTCAGGTGGTGTATTTTTGGATTGCACTTTATTTAGGGTAGTCTACCCTGGTGGACAGAAATAACACAACGTCTGCTTCGATGTTTTAGTTTCAGCGCTGGATGTCGGCCCAGACCTAACGCCACCGGATATCCTCCTCTGCTTTGAAATCCAGCGTTTGTTTGACACGTGGAACCGCGGATACACACGACATGTAAGTGAGATTTAGGAGGGGAACACGTCGGCTCCTTTGCAAGCTTCGATCAGTTACAGTGACCCAGACACCTCCCTGCTTCAGCCCTATATTTATGTTTATTTTCAGAAGCGTGTTACAGACTTTACGCAACCACAAACCCTGTATGATCCACCTCTGGGGATTTAGCTTAGCATTAGCATCACCGCCACTTCTCTTCAAATCTGCAGATGCACTTGGTCATTATATCCATATTATTCATCAGTATTGATATTCAATTTGTTTTGTTTTGACCTATACTTTATGTAGAAACATGAGGTCGTAAGTGTGTTGTCGTTTGGTGAAAATATTCTGTGAAAGCAATAATATTGTCGCTCAAGGGATTTGCTTAAATATTTGTTGATATTTGATTATTTCTTAATCGCCCTGCACTAATTTGAGTACTGTGTCTCAAATCTGGTCTCAGTTGATCAAATATTATGTTTTCTTTCCAACGGTTTATACAAGAACAGCTTTTTAAGAGTTGGTATTATTGGTATCTTTAAAAATTAAAAATAATTTTCTAATAGTTTGGAGTAACTTACATTTTTATTTATTTTATATTTTTCCTCATTAGCTACTTTTACGTTTAGTACATTTTGCTAAATATACTTCATAACTTTGACAATGCAGGACTTTAACTTGTAAGACAGTATTGTTACAGTGTGGTATTAGTACTTTTACTTGAGTATAAATCTGTTGGACACGACTCAAATATAAAAATAAAGAAACAAGGAATCAGATTATTTTTATCAAAATGCCAATTTGGTCCAAAGAGCAGTATTTAGTTTTGAGTTTCAAACTGTGCTTTAATTTAGTAAAGTATTACATAAAGTATAATCACAAATACTCTAAATACTCCCTTTAAGCTCAGTGTATTTGAGCCGCATATATTTATTTAGAAAACTGCGGGTTCTGGCGCACCTGAATCATTTACCCAGCCACCTCATATATTGTAAATGTGCCTTTTTTAGTTTCGGATGAGCATCCCCCCCACTTCTTCCTCATCCAATCACAGTCCTGCACACACACACCCATGAACACACACACAGACCACATCCCTCCTCAGCCACACTTTGAAGTTTCCTTCTCAAACCTTTTGGAAGCAGATCAGACCGGCTATAAAACAGAATCACTAATTAATTAAGCCGAGTCAAATCTGAAACACTGTTTGTTTGCTCGCCAAGCAGACACAACAGCCCAATTTCTTTCCTCCCGATCCAAAGCAGATCAAAGCCGACCGGTCTCATCCCTGGGTGGGGGGAAATGCCAAAAATGAAAGGCATCATCCCAGGGAGCTTTTACCAACTTTTTGGAGGAGAGGAGCAGCATTCGGGGTCCCGCTGTTTGATCATCTGAGGTGCTCAAAGGGAACATTGTGTGCGAGGGCAAATCTGTTCCGTAGCAGGCTCAATATGGTGGAGAGATGCTTATCTCGGAGCTAATGAAATGCCGGGAGGAGTAACAGTAATCTGCTATCACCCTCCTCTCCCTTTGCTGCCCCCCCCCCAACACAGACATAAGCCGACTCTTTATGAGACGAGCCGAGCCAGAGGATTGGCTGAACATCAGATCTGAGGGGCGAGACGAGGGCAGCAACACACACACACACACACTTGTACACACACGGTGGAACGAAGTCAGCATGGGAAAGCTGCCACACTGTGAGCTATCACACTCAGCTTAGCTAGGCTACTGTTTTACACAAAAGTGGCCTGATTTTGGGGTGATGTTCTTTTTTTTCTTCTGCAGGTGGATGTATCCTTGGGCAATATATTACACCACAAGTCAACGTGTGTGTGTGTCTGAGTGTTAGTGTGTCTGAGTAGGCGGCACCTTGTATGTCGGCATCTGCCTCTGGGTTCATGTGTTTGAATTGTTGAATGCCGACGTATGTAAAACGCTTTGAGGGGACGCAAAGACTCTAAACGCACTTTACAAATATGTTTCATTCACCATTTACTTTCTGAGCAAGGCACTTGTATCAATACTCATGTTGCCACTTCCTGACCGGCAGCATGAGACTCTGCGTTGTGGCCTAAATGTAAATAGGGTTTTTGATCAATCAATTTCTTTTTGGAGATACGGATAGACATGTTTTACTATACTCTGACATTTTATAGACTACATTCCAAGGTTATTCCTTTACATGTATGTTTTGTCAATCCAAATCCCTAATATGTATAATACTTCATTATGATGTAAAACAGGGAAATAAAGGAAATGTCAGAATTTCTGAAGCTGCCATTTCTGCAGGGTTAAAAGACAAAATAGCATGTATATATATATACTTCTAAAGTAAACTACTGTAGCCTGAATACAGCCTGATGAATCAAAAACTGCTAATCAACTTCAATGTCACTCAACTTTGTCAACAATTTCAAAGTTGGATGGCAAAATTGTGTCCCATTCCCTCTCATAAAAACCTTTATTTCACCCACTTTAGAGTTCTGGTATTGTCACATTTTTCTTGTCTCACCTTGCTAGCTTTTAGAGAACAAGTTTGCCGTAGATACTTAAACGTGAACATTTTAGTTTTATTTAGAAAGTAGATATCATGGAAAATGTAGTGTTTCCAATGAAGAGATTAGTTTTGTCTTTTAATCACTAAGAATAAACCAAATCTGTCTTTAAGGGAGGAAAACCTTGTCCCAGACTTGGGTTCGTCCAAATGACTTAAAATGACATGTCACGTGTTAGACACTTTTATCCAAAGCGACTTACATACATTCAGTACTGTGGGCAATCCCCACAGGAGCAATTTGGGGTGAAGTGTCTTTCCCAGGGACACAACGACATGCTGACTGCAGTGGGACTCAAACTTTCTACCCCATGATTCTAAATCCAGCACACTATCCACTGAGCCACAGCCTCAAAATGATATTATACTCAATTTGTCAGTCGCGTCATCTCTCTACTACCAAGTGAAGCAGAGCTGAAATCAAAGTGATTTTTTTGCCCGCACTTCCAAATTCTAGGCTGATCTCTTGCAACTCTTCATTTCTGCCTTCGCCTCACGTTCAATCCTGCCTTTAAATGGGAGGGAGAGACTTTCTCCTCCTGGAGCTCTTAATCCAGGATCACATCACATCGGGGGGAAAAACATGGGGGAATGGAGACACTTTGCCGAGCACCACGGGGGGAAGGGGCGGATGAAAGGATGAGGAGGTGGAGAGGCGGGAGGGTTAGGTAAAGGGACTTCATCAGCACATTGTTGGGGCTTAGAGCATGGGTGTGGAGCAGAGGGGGAAAGGACTGCAAAAAGCACCAGGAGGGCGAACAATATTTTTTGGGTGTTTTTTATTCAAATTAAACAAAAATAAAAGCTACATTCTGAAAGATTTGCTTAGCTTTCGTGATAGTCTTACCTTCTAGACGGTAGTGTTCATCACCAATCCTCTGCGCACATGCTTCACCCAGAGAGTCCTAGAGAGAGAGAAAAATACAGAAGACATAAATCACTTTTTCAAGTCATATAACAGAGAAGCATCATATTTTTGTCACATAAAAATAAACAGCTTTAACGATGCAAATCCACAGCAAGGCTTTCCAACACGAATTGACATGCCCCCGAAATCTAAATTACAGCGTTTATAAATCTATATATGAAGTTTGACAACTGTACGCTGAGCCTAGACAGCAGCGGAAAGTTCTAAGAGGATGGTAATTGCAGGACTGAAAACAAAACGAGCAAGAGAGCGGCAGACAGAATTGAGACTGTAAAAAAGGAAATATCTAAATCGCCGCCGTCCAGCAGGGAATTCTGGGAAAGACGGCTGGTAGTAGGACTATTTTGGTGGCGGGACATCGTTGCAGTGATGCGTTCACAGGCTTGTTTTTAACTGTTTTCACGCGGGGCCCCCTCTCGTTCTGTTAGTGCATACCACGGAGGCCGGAGACATGTGATCCCGGGGTTCACTATGGAAAAGTCCGGCTCAGGTATCCATGCGGCATTACAGTCATCTGGCCGAAAAACCATTACTCACCGGCTGACAACCACACATACATGCACACATCCGCTTGCACGTAGTCCAACACATACACACACACACACATTTAAAGACCCAGGCCTGGCTTCATTTCAAAGCTTTTCATGCGCCCACACTACCACAAAATGTGTCTGTCAGTCATTAAAAACTAGATCAAATTCACACAGACTCTGAGACAGAACATATTAACAGCATTCTTATCAAAGGGGTTGTTTAACACTAATATTGATGACTGATGCTCATAAAATATCTGATCTGAGCATAGTAGCTGGTGTGTGTGTATGTATGTATGTATGTATGTGTGTGTGTGTGTGTATGTGTGGCTGTGACAGCGTGAGTGGGGATTTCGGTGTAATCCAGAGGTAGAAGGTCAGATGGTGTGATCCCACCCTCCTCAGACGGACACAACGCTGTGTGTGGCCTAAAGATGAGAATACAGCCAACTACTGGACTAACTGTGTGTGTGTGTGTGTGTGTGTGTGTGTGTGCGTGTGTGTGCGTTGTAAAGTAAGAAATAAGAAATGTATACAATTCTTGTTCCCCTGTCTAAGCTTTGTTAAAACCTTTGAAACATTCATTAGAGACATTTAATACCAATAAAAGCTTTATTCATATTAACGTATTTAAATGCAGATTCTTTAAAGACCTTTTAAGAATCTACTAGACTCCTTTAAACACTATATTTGAAGTGACACACGGTGCAAACAAAAGCCCCATGACCCAGTTGGTTGCTTTTACAAAGTTAACGATATACCTTTCAAACTTAAATATGATTTATATGATTATATGAAATCAGAAGGAAAGCAGTGTAATGGTAACAATGGGTAATGGGTAGCTGCTGAGTGACCCTGTAGTACATCTTGGCACATTAGTCCGGTCAGATATTTGGCTACTAAACAATAGTCTCGTGTTTACGATGTGATTATTTTGTATTTCTGATACGAAGGTGACGGAAGATTGTGTGTTTCAGTTTGTTTGAAATCATTCAACCTGCTTTGGACCCTTTCATATGAGACAGCTGTCACAGGTTAATCACTGGTTGTCCCCACTAACAGAACAATCCCACATATTTCACTGCTAAAAACCATAACAAATTACACAGAGTGACAATAAAAAGATACTAGATAAAGTTACACGAAGCGTCGTTTTGGCGACTGTAGCCTCATTTACCGACAGGGAAAATACTACATTGGGTTTTTCCCCATGTATCCTCAAAGAAAAAGAAAAATCACACCACAATTAACATTCCTTCGATACCTCACACACAAAGACACATGCATGCAGGCACGTACACACACATAGCATCTTGAATGTTTTACTGTTGTTTTGATGAATGTTCCAAAATCATGAGGGGTTAACCAAGAACATGAGAAAACGAGAGAAAAGGAATGTACTAATTGGTTGTTGTCTGTGGTGATGGATGGGAGCCGTATTATTAGTCCGCTAGGATTACTCTGGGAGTTGCTCTGGTCAGTGTAAAGAAAAAACACCACACGCTTTTTTTACTTCACACACACACGCACTTCCTTTTTCCTTTCATGCAAAGTCGTTCAATGCTAAATAGAAATGTATTCACGGGGCAAAACGTATTTATTCCCTATGTTATTTGTATTTACCGTGTGATATATCTAACATTTCTCCATGCAACCTCATAAAGGAACTTTACAGGTGTTATGTCAGGTATACAGCCCAAATATTTACATCAAAATACTTGGACATATTTGCTAAAAGTGGCTCGGGCTGTCCCGAATACCATTTTTCGGGCTCCGGATATTCGGTAGTAATCAGCAGCGGATATTCGGTGGGCACCGGGGGGCGGGCCTGTGCGTTCACACAGGCCAAATTCAAAACGGACTATAAACTTTAAACACAAGTCATGTGCACGGAAATGCTGTTCAACAATTGGTCAGACATTGAGGGGGGGTAAAAAGGCAAATCCCGGCAATTTCTACCGTAGCCTCCGCCATGGAGCATCGGCAGGTTATTTTCATGCTGCTGTTAATCTGGACAGCATATCAACAGACTCTAGTGGACGGGGCGTATGATTATATAATCAGACAACGTGCGATAAAAAACATAACCCATATGAGAGACGTTCTGCAGTAAGGAGGGCGTTTCAACCGACGACAGGTAGCTCTGACTTTTATGTATAGTTGACGGAGCATTTTTACTTTACACGACACTGTTCAACACTTCATTCTGCTTCACTTTTTCAATAAAGATTTTGAAGACATCCGCGTTCTTGTGACACGTAAATACTACGCTTCCTATGTTTTGGTGCGGACTGCGTTCACGCCAGAGATGAACCGCTCCAGAGTTCACTAGCAAGCGCTCCGAGACCACCTCTTTTAGGCGGACCAGAGTCCGGTTGTTTAGTTCACTTCAGAGGTCTCGGACTGCGTTCACACCGACCCAAACGAACCGCACCAAGCGGATAAACGCACCAGGGTTCGATTCAACCGGACTATACAAGGCTGGTGTGAATGCGACCTAAGTCTGTAACGTTTTGTTTTTTTAAACGAATATCCGAATAACGAAATTGAAAACAGAATAGTAGGCCAACGACCGAATATTCGGGTACAGCCCTAAAAGTGGCCCTATTATGGTTTTTGGGGTTTTCCCTTTCTTAATGTGTGTTATATAGGGTTTTTTGTATGTAAACGCTCTGCAAAGGCTACAACTGACCCACTAACACAACACATTTCAGGCTAAGATCTCTAGATTTTGGCTTTGGCTGTGTGGGTAAAAAAATAACATAAAAAATAAGAAATGTTTGTATCTGAGTTTCCTGTGTTCCCACCAGCCGATTGGTCAGAGGAACAATGGGGAACATTTCTCTACCCTGCTCCAGAAAAAGGATATGTTGATGGGCAGAAGTAACATTACTAGCCGCACCATTTAGACCTATGTGAAAGAAAAGTGTCTTAACCCGAACATTCAATCACATGAATGACACACTTCACTCCTGATAAAGAAGGATTGACAACATTCTTGGTCTTATTAATAGGACTATGTTCAGGGTGCAAGCCAAAGTGTCCAAAATCTGATAAATCTGTTTGTGTAAATGTAACTATTATCTGCCTTTTCATAACGATGTGAACAGCACAACACACATGGGATCTGATCTCTCCACTTCTGAGTAGGCCCACTTTAATACATTGTCCTCAATCTGATACAGGGCTTTTTGCAATGTGACCCCAGTCCAAACAGACATATCAGATGTCTTCATAGAAGCTCTTAAAATCTGTTTCAGTCAAGATATTCCCTTTACAATCCCACCAGTCCAGGCTCCAATTTCACAACCACACACACACACCTCTGTACAGAAGAAGCAGCCATTATTTAAAAAAATAAATGTCTTTCTTCTCAACCATGTTATCATAGGTTTGGGAATTTGATGGCTTCCCTATGAACTTGTATATTAAATTGCAAACACCGACTTCAGTGGCCATTATGTTCGTACGACAGCGTGATGCGTGGGACGTCTTTGTTATGGTTATTGGTCAGTTAAAGACCGTGACACGCACTGCAATAGGGTTTTTGCAGTGCGTACATACATTATTATGTTACAGTTACAGAAGTAGCCGTTCAGTGACAGTAGAAGATGCAGCTGTTGTTGAACAAGAATAAGTAATCCAGAGAGGATAAAGGCGTGAACTCCCTCACTTCAGTTTGATTTGAAATGAAAGAGCTCAGAGTGGATTTCCCTAAAACTGCAAAGCTGGTCATCTCCCCCTCCAAAGTGATTTCTCCACTAATGAGTTCAGACGGAGCTCATCTGATGCAACATTTGCTACGAGTTAGTGGATCTGAAGACCGGGTCTCATTTATTTCTGGCACTCCTGGTGTACGTGCATGTTGACCACTAGATCAGATTAGATACACTTCATTGATTTCAACTGGGGAAATGTTTAACCTATATGCATGTAAAACGGTATCAACAAAAGAGCCATTCATATTTTTGGTGAAGTAAGGTAGCAATGATGGGTTTCTCCTGAGACCTTTTGCCAATTTAAAAGTCAGAGGTCACTGTAGGAGAGCATTTTGAGGTCAAAGGAGCCCCAGCCTATTGGCTCAACCACAGCTTAAACATAACAAAATAAAGTGGTACCCTCACAACTGATAATATCTGTGCTATAAAATCATCTTTATCATTTGAATGCTTATCAACCCTGCTTTACATTGGGTGTTGAATAATTTGATAATTTTGCTGCAATTTATAATCTATATATTGCTTGGTGTCCAAACTAGATGTGAAGAAAATCAAAGATAACATTTTGTTTTGACCAAACACTTTGATATTGATATTTTGACACTATAGGGTTGAACAGAGATGCTTTCTCAACATTTGATGATTTACACAATGATATTTTAAATAAATAATCTTCAGTAAATGGATTTGGTAAAGTGAGTAAAGTCAAATAATTCAAAAAAATC